GTAGCAGCCCATTCTGGATTTTTACCTTTTGTATCTTGAAATTCTTTCAAAACAAGAGGCAATATTTTCCTGTTGAGGCGTTTCGTAACTTGAAAATATCGTATGAAGAGACGTTCGGAAGTAGAGGTACCACTGTATTACTCGTTTTTCAGTATTTTCTTCCTGATATTAAAGTTTTGCCTATTTATACCAGACTCGTTCAAATGAGCTTATTTTTTTTCTATATTTTGAGTCCAATTTTTTTCATTTACATGACTCGCAGTATTTATTTTAAAGGCAACATTCATTTTTAAGTTGCATTTGACTGAAAAACAACCCCCCGCCCCCCAAAAAAAGAACAAGTCCATACCTAAAAACCGAATGTTCAAAATCAGGAAACAAAATAATTTTTATTTTATAATCACTTGTGTTAGGTTCTACTTTTGAATAATCAGTCAGACATAAGTGAGGGGTACTTATGATGTGACAAAAAGGTTCTGTGATAAGCTTGTCAACAGGGGTTGGGAATCACAAGTTTTTAGAGGGTGTTGCACATTTATGAGTAAGAGAGCGCCTTACACAATATTTGAATGTGGGAGGTGTGTTCAGCAAGGGTGTGTGTGTGAGGGATGGGGTGGAATGGAGAGTCACTTACACTGAAAAAAAAAACATTGGGTGGAAAAAAAAGTACATAATCAATAACACCTAATATTTTCTCTTTACCTGATAGAAATAATTCATTTTGTCCAATCTGGATTTTTGTAACGATGTAAACTAATTTCTCGAGGTCAAGCAAACCAATGACTGAATTTGAATTGGTTGGTTTGAAATCAAAATGAAGTTTGTTTTCTGACCAGTCGTCCTTTTCAGTTTCACCTTAAAGCCTTGAATTTCAACACACACAATTTTTTAAAAAATAATAATTTTACCCACACCTATTTACATTTATTTTTATCGTGATCTCATTTTATCTTCTTTATTTTACCTTGTTCAAACTTCAGTATTCCGTTTGCGCTGTGGGCCATGTTCATTCTCTGTCTGTAGGATGCTGCCGTTGGAGAGGTCCTGGCTCGGTGGATGTGGGTCTCTTCCGTCTGCCTGGGTTGGGATCGCCCTGGTGGTGGGGTCCCTGCGGCTCAAGGCTGGGCTTGGCTCCTGGCATGGACCCCCCCCACATAGACACGATGCGTCCTCACTCTGGTCACCTGTGCTCAGCCTTATGTCTCCACCAGAGGACAACAGACCACCCCAGGACTACATAAAAAAGGAGTTGATAAATATTTGGTGATATATTTCACCATAAAAGACCCCTCAATATGTCACGGTCATTACCCCCGATTTGGGGGGAAACACTTTTTTTTTTTTTTTTAATAATCCTTTTGGTTTTTCAATACCAGTACAGTTCTGGAGGACACTGGACCAACCCAGTTCCATACAGACATGTTTTATTTCAAAATAAAAGTCCTCTGGCATTTGCACCTTTCACTGTCATTACCCTTGATGAGAAAAAAAAGTAAATATTAAAAAATATAATTCTGGTGTCGCACAACCAGTCCACATCAGGGAGACACGAGACCGCACCGGGACTTGAACAAGATGTTGGATGAATAAATATGTGATGTTGTATTTCAAAATAAAAGGCCTCTGAAATTTGCACACCGGACGGTCATTACGCTTGGTTTAGCAAAAAAAAAAGATTTCAAGTAAACCTTTTGACATAGCAAGACCAGTCCAGTTCCGAGAGACACTAGACTCCCAACAAATTCAGTGATGTGAAAAGGAAATTTAGTTTTTATTTGAAGGCTTTTTGAAAGTGGAATGTCCAGCATATTGGGGGTATGTTACCGCATCGTGACGCATAGTCTGAACATAAGTCGCTGCGGCTGACTTGACTTCATTTGTTTTGAGTGGGGGCGAGCTTGACTGCAGCTCGCCCCCACTCAAAACAAATGAAGATGTTAAAAGAATTATTCCTTTGTTGTGTGTTCACAAACACCCCAATAGAATTTATTTTGTCATTTCCTTGCTGGATTTTCTGTTTTGGTGCAACTTCTTCGATTTCTTTAGTGCCATTGAATCTATCATTAATTTACGTTTTTCTGAGGCGGTCTTTGAACGTCTCTCGAGCCGAACGCGGAAGAGAACACGGAAAAAAAGGCACTTTGTCAGAGAGAGACGTGACTGTAAAGTTTACGTGGATGATGAAGTCACTGAATACATTTTAAGATGCAAGAAAGATAACGATGAAAGAAAATGATACGACCACTATTACTACTATGACTACGACTACTACTACCACTAATAATAATAATAATGATAGTAATAATAGTGTAAGAGACTGGACTGATTCAGAATTGTGTCTATGTTGATGTTAAAAGAATTATTCCTTTGTTGCAAGACCAGTCCAGTTCCGAGAGACACTAGACTCCCAACAAATTCAGTGATGTGAAAAGGAAATTTAGTTTTTATTTGAAGGCTTTTTGAAAGTGGAATGTCCAGCATATTGGGGGTATGTTACCGCATCGTGACGCATAGTCTGAACATAAGTCGCTGCGGCTGACTTGACTTCATTTGTTTTGAGTGGGGGCGAGCTTGACTGCAGCTCGCCCCCACTCAAAACAAATGAAGATGTTAAAAGAATTATTCCTTTGTTGTGTGTTCACAAACACCCCAATAGAATTTATTTTGTCATTTCCTTGCTGGATTTTCTGTTTTGGTGCAACTTCTTCGATTTCTTTAGTGCCATTGAATCTATCATTAATTTACGTTTTTCTGAGGCGGTCTTTGAACGTCTCTCGAGCCGAACGCGGAAGAGAACACGGAAAAAAAGGCACTTTGTCAGAGAGAGACGTGACTGTAAAGTTTACGTTTAAAAAAACAACAACACTGCAGCTCTCTTTGTTTCAGTGCTGCAACAACATCAATAATAATAATCATAATAATTTCGGTGGAAATTTAGAATGAGACTGTTGACTTTTGCAAGGTGGAAATCCACATGTGCTGAACAGTTTGAAGTTGGAATGTTTTGAATTAACCAAGTGATGTGGAAATGACAGTTAAAAGCGCCAACATTTTAAAAGAGGACTTTTCCTTTGTAATTTCGAGAAAAATGGTCAGGATTAAGAGAACAGTTTCAAGTTCAAACGGTTTGAATTGGTTCCCTAAAAATGTACAAATCAGTGGGGGCAGCGGGATTAACAAAATCTTTATTTGTGGATTTAATTTGATATTTTGAAAACAAAATTGTGGTAGGAATAAGATGAACTGTTGAAAGTTGGAACGGTTTGAATCGGTCAAAAAAATGTGAAAATATACATATCTGATTGACTTTCTATTTCATTATTTTTATATTTTTCAAATCTGTACACAGAATTTGGGGTAGGAGGTGCTATTTTATTATGATTACATTTTCTTTCTACTCCTCCTGAACATGAACATTTGTATCAGAGAAGAAAATATACTGCTACCTTTCATATTTCTTTTTTTTTCCCTCTACGTCCAAGCCACAGAAAGGTTTGTGGTTGGAGTTTATTTATACATCCAATTTTTTCAATCTATTTTTTTTGCTATTGTCATTCAGAGTGGCTTTTCTATGTGGACAAGTACGGACGTGAAAGACTCATCGTGTAAACAAGCACATGGAACATGCGAGCCTTGGCCACAACCAACTCATTTTCGAAACCGAAACAGGTGAATCAGACGAGCCTGGCTATGCCCACCAAAACCGCTCATTTCATGCTAGCACCCTGTAATTCGACAAGGCAGAATTCCACGAAAGTGATGATATAGTATAAGGGTGGCCAGAGGATTGTGTTGTCATCATTCCAAGGATACCTTGAAATAAACTCTTGTTTACTGTACGATGACCGAATAAGCTGCGTGTCAAGCGTGGTGTGCAGTTTTATTGGTAACACACAAACAATAAAACAGATCAATATTTTTTTTTTCACATGAGTTGCATGCAGGATTTCTTCAGTGTATTCTTGCACGTAAGGTAACAGAATTTGAAAGGCGCAGAGTAGAGTTGAAGGCATTTCATATTTAGCAACACAAACAGCAAATAAGTTGTGGTGTCTAATTGATCATTCAATGTAACACTATGTTTTTGCTTTTGTTCACCATTCAGAGCTAATTTTCGACATATAATTGCCAATTTTTACCAGTGCTGAGCACTCAGGTACTAAACACTCCAACATGAAACAATGGAGTACCACGAGATTCAAGAATCTCTTGTGAACAAAGGGCTGAGTGAATTATCTTCATTCATTTGGTTTGATTTAAAGCAGACATCATTTTTACCTCTGTGTTATTTTCTGCTGTGATCTCAGTGGAGCTTTGTTTGTTGATTATTTTGTATGGTGGTTATTTAAGATTTTGAATTATTGAGTTGTTGAATTATTTCTTTTTTTTACCATGCAGCAACGGTTTTCAGAAAGGCATTCTTTTACAGTTGCTAGCTAGTTGAAGCAAAGGCTTCAAGGGTCAGTTGCTAGTTAGCTGCTAGGACGGCACGGTGGTCGCTTTGTTAGCATATCCGACTCACAGCGCAGAGGTGTAGGGTTGTGAGAGGTGGATTAGAAAATGGATGGATGGAGGGATGGATGGATGGATGGATATAGTTAGCTGCTAGCTAGCTAACGAGCTCGTTGAAGCCTAGGCTTTTAAGGTCTTCGTGTATTCTGGTCTCAATAGACTTTACAGTATATCTGCGTGTCATTTTTATAGCAGTGAATGGAGACTTTGTGGCACCCGATGTTTTGGCCAAGGGGCAGCATATAAATAAGAAAAAAAAATGTCTGAAAGGACCTTGCGGTACAACACAGCAAAGGTAGAAGTAGATGAGCTGAGGTTGTCTCTGGTGATAGCAAAGCAGGATGGACGGTGTCTGTGATCTCCACCCAATGACTAAGCTGGTCATTCACTAATTACTTGGTCAACTGTGTCGAAAGCAGCACTGAAATCTAACAAAAAAATAATAATAATCATGGAGCCCTCCCCTTGATCTGCTTTTAAAAGCCGGTCATTTGTTACTCTGGTAGTCTTGAACCACAACAGACGCACTACAGTTTAGTTCTTCTGCTCCTTGTCTCTCAACATGACCACAGTCACCTGCCCGATGTATGGAGGTCTTTCAGATCTTGCAGATGCCGGTGCCGCGATTCGGACTATTTGTGAGAGGGTGAGTATCAAAACTTGAAATGTATATTCATTGTTACTTGCTTTCAAAGTTCACATTGTAAAGAACATTAAAAACAAACACAAAAATCAATTTCCAGGTGAAGCATCAAGCTGAGCAAAAAGCTGGGAAGGCTTACAACCTTTTCATCGCCAAAAGTTACAAGTCACAAATTGTGTCCGGAACCAACTTCTTCATCAAGGTAAACTCCAGCATCAGTTGTTTTATTACGTTGTTTTTTGTGGTGTTATCATTCTTATTATTACAATCCATTAAAAAAATATATGTTTAATAACATTTTTGTATATATTTTGGGGGTGTTTCTGTCTGCTGATGTCATGGCAGATGATTGTCTTTTTGAGTATGTTCGTGTTCATGTATCATTCGGGCGAAGCTTCTCCGCAGTGTGCAGTTGATTACAACGTAGCTCATCGCGCCACTTTTAATAGCAAATGAGAAACTATTTTCAACGGGAGTGTTATTACACTTTGGTTGCAGGTGCACGTGGGAGGAAACGACTACGTCCACATTCGTGTCTTCCAAGGTCTGACACAAAGCGGGCCAGAGCTGGTCAGCATCAAGGAGTCCAAGACACATGATGATGAAATTGAGTACTTCTGAATGACAAACACTGAGAGAAGCCTCCCATGTCTTTCTCGACAGCAACTATCGCATTGCAAAAAAAAAGGAAAAACTAATAATGTCCAATGGATTGGAGATCATGACCATTTCAATGTGACTTGATTCAATCAAAAATAAAATGTATTAAAAAAAGATTGATATTCTGGTGTGTGATTTCTAATCATAGTTTAAATAGTTGTGTCAATGTGTCAAAACCACACTGTAATCTCAAGACATTTTGGTACCTTAAGGCAGCGGTCCACAACCTTTTTTGCCTCACGGACCGACAGACATTTTCAGGGACTTTAAGGCCGGATAAATACAACAAAATAATATCATATGACCGAGATGAAAACTGTGGCATTTTCGAAACATAATAATAAACATGAATCGTGACACGAGAACGTCCTATCAGGCCGCAACACTCTCTGGTCGCGATGGTAACATTTAAGCGTGCCTTCAAAATAAGTGACAAAGTGCATGAAAAATATGACTCACCATCGCCGCATATTATGCAGAGTTGACTTGGTGTGTGGGAATATCCCATTGAGATAAATTTTATATTATAATATTTTAATTACTGCCGACTGTAAATGTAACCTTCTTTTTCTTGAAAGTCGTAGGCTCCTCTTCTGGCTCCTGGCTGGGCCTTTCCACCTTCCCAAGGAAACTTTCCAAAAACCTTTGTTGTTTTTTTTTTTTTTTACTCATTTTGCTCACTCCTGGGTTTCACTTTAGCGCTAACCTATCACGTGACTGAGAGGCGCGCCTTCACCTGCGTCAAGAGTGACATATTGTAGACGGATGTAACAGAGAATCCAATAATTTTTCAAAGTAAAACATCTTTCAGATTCCGCAATTAATAAAACGGAAGTAATGTCAGTGTGTGGCCTGGTACCAAATGACCCATGCACTGGTACCGGTCCGTGGTCCTGGGGTTTGGGACCGCTGCCTTAAAATGTCTTAAGCCCCTATCTCACTGTGCGGTGGACAATTGTGAGTGTTTTCGAAGGCAGCGAGTGTTCCCCTTCTCGTTTGGGTTCATTCAAGGTCGCAAATGTTTGCCTCACGGTCGCTCGACAGTCGTCTGCACTTTTCTTGCCACGAGAATTATGAACATGTTCAAGGGAATTTTGAACATGTTCAAAATTTCCTTGTAACAACAACAAAACAGAGGAACCGTTGGCGAACATCTGGCAAACGGTTTGTAAACATTTGCGATTTTGAACGAACCCTGACGCAATCGTACAGTTTGTCAGTGGCACAGGGGCTTTAAGACAAACATTTGCAGATGGCATATCTTTCATAAAACATGGCAAAGCAGCATATTAGATTCCCCCAAAACAGATTTTTGTGCCTGAATACCTCGTCGCAAAGGCCAATGGCCCAAAAGACAAAAGAGTTGCCCAGCCTACTGACCCAACATGTGGGAAGCAGCAAGTTGAACAGGGTGACTCCCTCTGCCAGTCTCACAGCAATCACAGAGCAGGTTTCCTTCTCACTTCCGCTTGGGATTCGATACCAAATCGTAGCTTTTGTTTTTTGGTTTTAGAGCCAGTAGTTCTTCTCTTAAAAAGCTAACGAAACTGGCCATTTGTTGCATTTCTTGATTAATAACAAACAAAAATACTGACTGCCTGTATCTTTGAAATTGTCTCCGGGTAGCACCGAATACAATATTTTAGATGCAGTCAATCACCCTTTTAAAATTTAAACATTGGCAGTGTTAGGGTTTTTAAAGGCCATGTAAATGTGCACAAAAACCCAAATAGAAGCACATTTGGGTTTTGTGCACATTTAATTTTTGGGTTTTTGTTTTATTTTTCACATTGGGCTTTTACTAACTGATTGTGAAAAAAACTGGCAGGGAAATGGTTTGACATGGTTAAAAACTGTAGAAATCAGTGGAGGGGGGGGGCGGTGAAACAAGTCTTAATATTTGGCTTTTAATTTCAAATTTTGAAAAAAATTGCGGGAGGGATAAGATGAACGTTTTGAATTTAGAACCATTCAAATCGGTCCAAAAAATCTAGCGATTAGAAGGAAAAAAAAATCTTAATTTTTGACTTTCATTGTGAAATTTTGAAAAAGATTTGTGGCATGGATAAGATGAACAGTTAGAATGATTTGAATTGGTCCAAAAAAACTTGGAAATTAGTCCCCCCAAAATTCTAAATTTGCAATTCTTTTTTATTGGAAAAAAATTTAGAATGAGCTGACCCGAACGTTCGAATGATCAGAATTGGGCACCCCTAATAATTAAGAAATTGTTAAAAATCATATCTTAAAACATTTTGATGTGCACGGGTGTAAAACTCATTTTTGGCGCGTTCCAAATTTTAATTACCGTTTCACTATGACTGAAACCGTAGAAATCAAGAATAACTGTTGATTCAACTATTGTTTTTTTCTACCATGAAAGGTTTGGTAACAAGAAAATACGTAGAATATCTCTCTTATTTATTACGCAGGAGAATTTAAATTTTTGGTAAACATTTTAGAAAGTGTGGAAGTTGACATGTTTGACCTGCTTTCGCAGGCCACATAAAATGATGTGGCGGGCCAGATCTGACCCCCGGGCCTTGAGTTTGACACCAGTGTTTTATGTAGAATCTGCGTGTCATCTTCGTAGCAGTGAACCAAGAATTTGTGGCACCCGATGTTTTGGCCAAGGGACAGCATATGAATATGAAATTAAAAAACGGCCCAAGCGACCTTGCGGTACACCACAGCAAGGGTAGAGGTAGATGAGCTGAAGTTGTCTCTGGTGATAGCAAAGCAGGGCAGTGTCTGTGATCTCCACCCAATGACTAAGCTGGTCATTCACTAATTACTTGGTCAACTGTGTCGAAAGCAGCACTGAAATCTAACAAAAAAAAAGCATTGAGCCCTCCCCTCGATCTGCTTTTAAAAGGAGGTCATTTGTTCCTCTGGTAGTCTTGACCCACAACAGACGCACTATAGTTGAGTTCTTCTGCTCCTCGTCTCTCAACATGACAACCGTCACCTGCCGGATGCTCGGAGGTCTTTCAGATCTTACAGATGCCAGTGCCACGATTCAGACTATTTGTGAGAGTGTGAGTATCAAAACGTACGTTAATTGTTGCTTGCTTTTAAAGTTAACATTGGACAGACCATAACATTAAAAAAAACATACCAAAATTATTTCCAGGTAAAGTCTAAAGTTGAGCAAAAAACTGGGAAGGCTTACAGCATTTTCATCGCCAAAAGTTACAAGTCCCAAATTGTGTCCGGGACCAACTACTTCATCAAGGTAAGCACGAGATCAATCATTTTATGTTTTGTTTTGTGGGATTATTATTATTAATAAAACACATTAAAAAGTGTATTTAATATATTCTTGCAATTAATTAAAAATGTAATTTATGGAATACATTTTATTATTTTTCTTAATTTATAGGTAATTTGAACATTAAAAAAATATATATATTGCTATACTCATGTACTTCATGGACATACTTTTTAATTTAAGATTTTGATCTTGTTTTGATTAATTGCAAATGTAATTGATATGCATAAAAATGTACTTGTATATATTTCCTCTAAATTTAAGAATTTAATATTTTTTTCAATTAATTGAAAATTTGATCAGATGTATAAAATGTAAAGATGCATCAACATATAGATATTTTTTTCAAGAATTTATTCTAATTAAAATAGATATTGAAATCTTTAAAAAATGAAAAATTGCGTAACAATTTTGGATGTATTTTGGAGCTGCTTGTCATGATCTTTTTGAGTATGTTTGTGTTCATTTGTCATTTGTAGCTCATCGTGCCTCTTTTAGGAGCAGATGAGAAGCTATTTTCAATGTGAGTGTTATCACATTTTGGTTGCAGGTGCACGTGGGAGGAAACGACCACATCCACATTCGTGTCTTCCAAGGTCTGACACAAAGCGGGCCAGAGCTGGTCAGCATCAAGGAGTCCAAGACACATGATGATGAAATTGAGTACTTCTGAATGACAAACACTGAGAGAAGCCTCCTCCTGTCTTTATCTACAGCAACTAGTGCATTGCAAAAAAAAAAAAAAACCTACCAACTAATAATGTCCAATGTAAATCACGACCATTTTAATATGACTTGATTGAATAAAAAAATAAAATCTATTCAAAAACGACTGACATTCTAGTTGTGTGATTTAAAAGATGTGACGCATTAGGGCTGGGCATCGATTCAGATTTCCCAAAATGGATTTGATTCGACTCACAATTCACTTCGATTTTTGGTTGAGTTCTGGATTTCGTGCAGTACCAAATTTATTCTCACATGGAAAACGTTCTCGGGAGAAACAATGCTGCAAAATGGTAGAAACCTCTCACCCTCACCTGGTGCATCAGTAAGAAAAATGAATATTTACGGTTAGAAATGATGGTATCTTACAGCATGACTATATCCATCACATACACGTCCTTGGCTCTGGACGTGTTGTGAAACACGATCATTTTGGTGATTTCTGATAAAGAAAAGACTGGTTGGCGATATCAGCAACGATCTAGCAAAATATTGGTTTCGTGTCTGGCAAACATCAGTTGGATTTTTGTTGATTGGTAGATTTACTTTCAGTTCAATTTGTTTGGTAAAATTAGGATTTTGACCAATTTATTTTTTTGAATGCATATACTTTTATGGTGACCATGAAAATTTTGAATAAAGAAGATTGTTAGAATACATTGTGTCTGTCCTCAGTTTTCCACTGTGTGGCCCCTCCCTTCTCTTGTTTTTGGTTGCTTTTGCCTGAATTCAGTGTGGGCTGGGCGTGTCTCCAATCACTACACCTGTCCCACCCACACACCTGCCAGTTTTCATCTCGTCATCAACACTCTCCTCAGTCTGAAGAGTCACCCGTTGCCAATTTGCCAGCTATCTTCCCTGCCGTACTCGTTGCTGCTTAGCTGCTATGTGCCAGCTTTCCTGTGCACTTCAATTTGGTCTTTCTGACTTCCTTTTGTTCCTGCCTCCTTGACCTGTCCCTCTTCCTGACAATAA